TGTGTTTCGTTGTGAAAGTGAAACTACTTTGTTTGGCTTCCAAAAGAGGACGATATCCGCTTCGTCATGCTGTCTTGTTGTTTGTTATAATCAGTAATTATGTCTCGACTGGATGCAACAAATGCCTGGTTTATAATGGGTTTTAATGTGTTTGTCTCGTCGCTCCGGCCGGACAGGGCAGCACAGTATGGTGAGGGGCGTAACATTTCCGTCACACGCTTGAGGTATTCGGCCAATCACAACGCACTGGATAGCTGGCCAATCACAGCACACCTCGCTTTTCAGACCGATGAGCTTTGTAAAAATCGACGCGTTTCAGAAAGGCGGGGCATAGAGGAGAAACAATAATGTACAGTATGTTGAAAATAATGTGTTTTTTTAACCTTAAACCGCATAAACACATTTCATTACACCAAATACACAAAATAATGTTCTTTTAGCAGCATCACATGACCCCTTTAAAGTTGACCGTGCTTCCGACATTAAATGAGTTTAAACTACTTTTAACAAATTGTGTGTTTTATCCCCTGGTAAATTGTTGTTGTGATCGTTGATTTGTGTTTTGTGCAGTTGGTGTAGACTAGTATATTTTATGTTATTTGTTGCTGCTTTCTTGGTCAGGTCTCTCTTGTAAAAGAGATTTTAATCTCAATGAGTTTTTTAACCTGGTTAAATAAAGAAATGAAATGAAATATGATCAAATTTAAAGTAAATCATAATATTGATGTACAATTTTTAAAAATATAATTTAACTTGATAAATAAATTAAATTAAATAATTAAATTTGATACAATATAAATATCTAAATTTTTATTACATGAAATTGTATATATATATATATATATGTATTTAATTACATTATATTATTTGTATTGAATTAGATTAAATTATGTATATTTATATTTAAGTTATTTGTATGATTATATATATATATATATACCCTTCCGTCGCTGGTGAGCAGGATGGAGTCGCTCTTGATGTCTCGGTGTATGACGCCCTGCGTGTGCAGGTAAGACAGCGCCTTCAGCACCGACAGACAGACGGTGGCGATCTGCTCCTCATTCATCCTGTCAACAAAACACACAATCATCAGATCTCCTCATCAACGTGAGCAAATCAGAGCAGACCTGCTTCTCACAAGCTCCTGAGACAAACAGTTGCTAGGGTATTTTGGGTGGACTCATCTAGCAGCACTAATGATTGAGTTCTGTGTGATACTCTCACTGTGTGAATATAAATCAGTATCAAGCCAAGTCACCTTTATTTATATAGAACTTTTAACAATACAGATTGTGTCAAAGCTGCTTTACAGCATTAAATAGGAAAACAGTGTGTCAATAATGCAAAAAAATGTCATTTCAGCTGCTCTAAACCAGAAGCATCTATTATCACAGATCCAACTTCAGCAGCAGCACTAACACACACACTTACACACACTCACTATAACACACACACACACACACACACACTATAACACACACACACTCACACATACATACACACACACACACACACACACTATAATGCACACACTCACACACACTCTCTCACACACACAGACACACACACACACA